GGAAGAATAACTGTCGCGGAAGCAGAGGAAGCAGCAGAGAGATGCCGCAGCTTGGGCGGGTGGCACACAGACGGATGCCAGGCTCTGCCGCTGGGTGTCACCGCTGGATCTAGGCAAGGCCCTAGAGAGCAGCTCTACCCAGAGCTTGAGCCAGTCCTGGGACTCTGACCCTAGGGAGCCCTGCCTGTGTCCCAGGCCAGAGCTAGAAAGCACCAGGTCTTCTCCAAAGCAGCACTGCTCATGCATACTGTGGTCTAAGGTACTTCTCCTCTGAGCATCAGCAGATGATGCTCATGTGATAGCCTTGTTTCTTGCTATTGTGGAATGGACAGACAGACAGACAGAGTCATTCAACTGCAGGCTCTTTGGTTGCTGGTTAAAAGCCAGGAGGAATGGAAATGCATTTGCTGTGGTTAAAAAATATTAACATAGGCAAGTCTCCCAGCAAGGCAGAATTGCCCTAGTGTGCTTGTGGACCACCTCATGTAAGTCTGGCCAGCATGGTTCGCTTTGGTGGGACCCTGAGAGGGAAATAGGGCACAGAGAGACTGGTCCTGGGTGTGGTGGGCACCTATGGCTCAGGTAGGGGCACGTGGGTTGGATAGAAGCCCTGGGGGCAATTTTCTATTTGCTCTTGAGTTCAGAGCTAAATGTTTTGGGGAACTGGATGCTGTGAAGGAAAGGTTCAAGGGTCTGATTCCTCCACCATCCTCAATGGCTCCCTCCGCCCAAGTCTGTGGGCAGGGCTGAGACCAAGGAGGGCAGAGCGCATGTGAGTGCTTGTGTGTGAGTTGGTACCCAGGAAGACGAGGAGAGGAAAGATACCGCTAGGGGGCAGAATGTCCAGGTGGGGGGGTGGTGAGGGGGTGGAAGGGGTGGGAGAGCAGGAGCTTTCTCGGAGGGTAAGGCGAGCTGTATCGAGATGCCAGCGGAGACAACCCAAGACTGGTTCCAGCCGCACCGGCTATGTTGTTTAGACTCCGGGACTTTTCACAGCCTTGGTGAAGAAAAGGCACATGGGTCAGGGCGGCGAGGCTATGTGGTAGAGTGGGTCCAAAGGATCTGTGCTTCAAGGGACCGTCCCTGCAGGGCAGGCATCCCTGAACTGGAGTGGAGGAGTTTGGCTCTCCCTGACCTCTGTGTCTCCTGAGCTCTGGAGGACAGATTCTAAGACCTCTACACCCAGCTAACCTTTGCCCTGTCCTTGCCCCCAAGCAAGTTCCCCTCCAGTTCCTTCAGAGCCCAGCTGCAGGAACACCCCACAGCCTCCAGCACCTGTCTTTTGTGACCTAGGAAGCTCTCATTAGCACCTGCCACCTTCCCAGGGAGCGTACGCTCTAGCACACGGGTGCCTACAGACTAGGATGGGGTCTGTGCTATTGGTTAGGGGAGGCCTCAGTCACTCCAGGTCCTAACTACAGCCTGAGCGAAGAGAAGGGTAGCATGGTGTGGTGTGGGGAAAGTTGCCGAATGCGCACTGGGAGTTTGGCAATGCTAATTGCTACACTTGCTTAGCAGGGCCTGTTTCCCAGCAACCCACCTGTTCCCTTTCGAAGGTCACTCTAATTGGCTGAGCTACATGCTTGTTGCCAAGAAGCAGTGTGGAGGCATCTTGAAAATAGAGCAGCAGGGCCCCATGGGCACTCCAGAGACAGGGGATAGGATGCAGGCTCCCCTGCCTCATGCGTGCACACATGCAACCTCTCTTCCCCAGGTGTGACATGACCTCAAAAACATGTGGTCCCTCTGCCAACGTGCACCTACACAGCTTCTTTCATACCTCTACCTTCATGGAGCCCCTCAACGCACAGGGAAAGCAGGGCTGATCAGAACTCAAACTCTGCTCAAGTACCCCTCCTAGGACCTGGTCAGGGTTGGGCCAGTCTGGGGAGCCTGGCTGTGTGCTGTGACTGTGGATAGAAAGTGCTTGCAAAGGTGCCCCGGGAGGGCTGTGTGAACTCAGCAGGTGAGGGAACGTCCTTAGTAGGGGGCGAGGGCATCCAAGGCTATTCCTGCACTGTCTTCCTGACTCATTCTTGGTCTGGGGTTTGAAGCATCCCAACCAGCTTCCGTCAGGGAGTCTGGCTGCATAAGAGACCACTGGTTAAGTGGCCAGAGAACCCAGGGAAGAGACTTTGTCTTGATAGGAGCTGGGGTTTTGTCCTGTAACCAGACAGATGGTTAAGGAAGTTAGGTCATAGGGATAAGTCAAGAAAGACAAAAAGGTGACTGTAAAGAAGGAACACCTGGTCTTGAGACCCCAGTTCTCCCTCACCTGGAACACTCAGTCATCCTCCATTTATTTCTGCCTTACTTCATCAGAGCAGGAAATCTCCAGCTCCACTGCCCATCTTCAACTCTGCCCCTGCCACTGGCTTGGGGCCTGGTGATAGAGTTCAGCTTCCCCTGAGAGGGAGAGAGCAGGCTGCCCTCTTCCGATGAGACCACCTCTCCCTGGCTATCCTCTGGCTCTGACTCAAAAGGAAGTCACATTCCAGATGCCTGCAGGGCAGGGCTAAGCCATCCTGGGATCCAGGACCCCCTTTGCAGGATGGGAGGCTGTGGAGCCTGTGGAATCTCTGTCGTGCCAGGCCGCTCTCACGATCTCACACCAGCAGCACCTTGTCACACTGATGCCTGAACCTTGTTTACATTTCTTGGGTCTACTTGCCTGTGTTCATGGGAGGCCTAGGGAGGGACTAGCAGTGACTCTGTAGAGTTAGGGCTAGAAGCAGTAGCACAAACCAGAGGGAGAGAAGCCCAAGGAAGGTGATAAAAAATAGAAGTGAGGAGTGGGTACCCTTGAACTGCCTTCCAGAGCTCTTCCTATGTGACACTTGAAGGGAGGGGGGTCCTGTGTATACCTTTCTGGGATGCTGGAGGCCTTTCTAAAGCAGAACCTCAGCGATTGATCGGGGTGCTCAATCTACAAGTGGGAGTGCATCCAAGGCAGAAGGGATGATGGTCAGGGCCTCAAGGGAGGAGAAGAACTCAAACTTTGTGGGGGAGATTCAGCCCACAAATGGGACTCCTCACCTGCCCAGCCCAGGGAGCCATACCTTTCCGGACACTGCCATCGGCACAGGTGTAGTCTCCAGCGCTGAGCAGGAAGCAGGCCGCTGCCTTCTTGTTTCTGTCTCGGGTGCCAGAGCGACGAAGGGCCCGGCGCTCCTCGGGGGTGGGGGCAGAAGCCAGGGGCTGGGTGAGGCCAGCTCCCTCCTCATCCGACAGCACCGCATTTGCATCACCGTTCTGTTTAGAGTCTGATGGGGTAGACAGAAAGGAGACTGATGAGAGGTTGCCTGGGCTCTCTTACCCCAACCGGAAAAGAGAGCCTTGTATTGACATGCAAGGGAGTATCACCAAACCAGGAATGAGGCCTGGTCCTGAGGTAAGGTGACTATGCTTGGTGAAGGCTAGTTTCCCTCCTTCCCAGCTTTGGCCTAGGATCTTCCCTGGGGCCACATCCTAGATGTTCTCCAGCAGAGACATCCCCAAATCTGCTTGCTGAGGCTTCCCCATGAGATCAGCACAAGGCAGGTCTGGCTCAGGCTGACATTTGAATGAGTTGGCATTCCTGGTTTGGCTGGGGGTGGGGGTAGGGGGATGACTGCTAGGGTTGAACCTATAGAGTAGCTTCCCTGGACAACCTGAAGGCAGTTAGTCTCATTCTCAAGTATCAAGGCCAGACTGAAGGATGGAAAACTCTGTGCTCACCCGTTTCTGAGAGGATGCTGTGAGGAAGAGACTCTGAATTCTGTTCTGAGCTCTTGGGCAGCAGGACTGACTGGTGAAGCTACACCCTGGGCTCTGGAGGGGCAGGGCCTGCTCCACCTGAAGCTCTGGCTAGTTAGGGCCAAGCTAAGTGTATAGCAGACATGGCCACAGTGAAGCGTATGCTGGTCAACTATACAAACTTGATATTGACATCAGGATTCCTTGGGATTCCTGAATGGGTGTCAGAATGCAGCTGAAATGCCCTGGGGCACTGAGCTAGGAGACAGATATTCAGGGATGGGGAAAGGGTTATCACTTTGGTGGGGAGGGAAGAGGGGGCTTAGTGGAGGTGTTCCTATCAAGGTCTTTGGAAGACCTAAGCCTTTTCAACGACCCCAGGGAACAAGTAGACACCAGAAAGTATGATGGGCGCATGCCAACATGCCACAGGAGAGTGTCCTGAGTCAGACATTTCCCTTGAGGAGTAGTTCTACTTTAGCCCCAGGGCCTAGTGAGGAGCTCCACCCCAGCTTCCCATGGCCTGCATCCAAGGGCTCCCACACCAGGAATCCCTCAGGAACCCCTTCCAGACCTAACACAGAAGCAACCTTTCCTACTTTCCCACCTAACTCCATCTTGCTGTGAGTGACGCTGGTTTCTCTTCTCCATCTCCTGACTAGGGTGGAGGCTTTCTTGGAATGACCTTTCCAACCCTTTAAGGACAAGATCAGAACCCTCCCCCGCCCCAGGGCCTCCCCTTCTAGGAAGAACATGCCAGTGTCTCCCATCTCCTCCTAACACTCTGGGCTTCTCTATTCTCAAATCCCTTCCATCCCATGTCAACCCCCAACCCAGGACTCCAGTCAAGTTTGTGCTGAACAGAAGGCAGCCTCCTACTGCTGTTACGTTATCACATTTATTAGGCCAAGAGACAACTAGACTCCAGCGTTTGGGAAGAAGTGATTCATGTGTTGATGCACCTTGGAAGAACGGCTGCCCTGTTCTCCAGCTAATAATGACAGCGCCTGACATTTGTAAAGGGGTTTTAACTTCTCAAAGTACTTTCCTACAGATCACTCAGTTGGGTCACATTAAAGTCTTAGGGGTAGGATAGTAATACCATTTCCATTTTACAGGTGAGGAAACTGCCCACAGAGGTTGAGTGACTGGCCTCAGTGAACACACCATAGTGGACAAAATGAATTCTAAGCTAGGGTTTCTAATCACAGTCCCATGCATTGCTCATCACAGCCTGAATTGGGAGGGATACTCACTCCCATGACCTTGATGTTCAGGAAGCTGTAAAGAACCAGAAGATAGAGAACTTCAGCCTCAATATTTTGCCTTCAATAAAGGTAGGTCTTACATTGAGAGAAACCCAGAGGAAAAACACAATCCCAGATCCCAAGAGTTGAGATTCATCTAGAGACTTCCTCAAGCATTGGAGGGGAGGGGGCCTTCTTATCCAGACCCATCTCACCTGCCCGTTTCCTCTCGACCATACCCTCTTCCCGGGCAGGGGGGCTGGTATCACTATAGGTGCTGTCCCGCGGGGAGGTCTCCTCAGACTTGCAGTAAATGGGTGACTCTAGCTGGGGCGGCCGGGGCACATGCTTCTTCCGTTTCTTAGGCAGCTTCTGCTTGGCCATGGCCAGGGAGTAGTACATGCCAAAGTTGTTGACAATGACAGGCACCGGCATGGCAATGGTGAGCACGCCAGCCAATGCACACAGTGCACCCACCAGCATGCCCGACCACGTCTTGGGGTACATGTCCCCGTAGCCCAGTGTCGTCATGGTGACCACAGCCCACCAGAAGCCAATGGGGATGTTCTTGAAGTCGGTGTGGTCGTTGCCCCTTGGGTCGGAGGGCCTAGCGCCAATGCGCTCAGCATAGTAAATCATAGTGGCGAAGATGAGAACGCCCAGGGCCAGGAAGATGATAAGCAGCAGGAACTCGTTGGTGCTGGCCCGCAGCGTGTGACCCAGGACGCGCAGTCCCACAAAGTGACGGGTGAGCTTGAAGATACGTAGGATGCGCACAAAGCGCACCACACGCAGGAAGCCCAGCACGTCCCGCGCCGCCTTGGACGACAGGCCACTTAGCCCCACCTCCAGATAGAAGGGCAAGATGGCCACAAAGTCGATGATGTTGAGCAGGTTCTTGATGAAGTCCAGCGTGTCGGGGCAGCACACGATGCGCACCAGGAACTCCAGCGTGAACCACAGCACGCACACACCCTCGATGTAGGTCAAGATGGGCTCTGTCTCCACCTCCCGCCGGAAGCGCACGCTGGTGATATTTCCTACACGGTGGATCTCCGTCACGTTGCGGTCGATGTTGAAGGCTTCATGGGTCTCCAAGCAGAAGGTGGTGATGGAGACCAGAATGAAGAAGAGTGAGGCGAAGGCCACCACCTGTGGGTAGGGGGGGAATGAAGATGGTAGCTGTCAGACAGGCTTGGGCCCAGCTGGGGACTGGACCTCTACTTGCCTGGTGGGGTAGGGCAGGCATGGATCACCAGGCAGTCGTTAGATGGTGAGAGGTGGGGTTGAGATACTGCATAGAGGCTGCGAGGCTAAAGGAAGCTAAGGAGCCCAAGGGTTCTAAGACTCTAAGGGATCAGATTGCCTGGTTCCTTATCCTGGCCCTGCCACTCAGTCAGGTGAATGAAACACTCAGCCTATTCGTTGTTGTTCTGTGGAGTTGGTTCTGACTCACAGGGACCTTGTATAGGGTTCCCGAGGCTATAAATCTTTTCAGGAGCAGAAAGCCTCATCTTTCTCCCATGAAGTGGTAGGCAAACTTGAACCACATGGTTCACAGTCCAGTGCTTATCCTACAGAGCCACCTTGCTTTGACTGTTTGTTGTTGTTAAGTACTGTCAAGTTGGTTCAGACGCATAACAATGCTGTATAGGGTTTCCAAGGAGTGGCTGGTGAGTTTGAACAGACGATCTTGCAATTCAAACCGACCTTGCAGTCCAGCGCATTAACCCATAGTGCCACACCAGGACTCCTCTGCCTGTTTACTAACTATACAATGGGGATAGAGTTAGTACCCACCTTGTAGTGTTATTGTAGAATTAAAGCGCATCTGTGTGACAACTGCCACAATTAAGTGCTCAATAGATGGCAACTCTTAGTGACATGACAGAGTCCAAACGCTAAAGTGTTTGATGATTAACTGAAAGGTTGATGGCTCAAATCCACCCAGAGATGCCTCAAAAGAAAGACCTAGAAATCTACTTCCCAAAGTGCACAGCCATTGAAAACTCTATGGAGCTGGAACTCCCTCCTTTGAGGGTCTTGATCCAACTGTTTAAACAACGCTTTCCAATCTTTTTTACCCTCACGGTGCATAGAGAACAATAGAGGTTGTTCTTGGCAGAATGTTATTCTGAGTCAGGAGGTCTAAGGCAGGACCTGAGGGCGTACATTTCTAACAAGTTCTTAGGTGAGGCTATTGGTCCACAGACCACAACAGAAATAATAAGACTTTAAGGCAATGGCTCTCAAAATGAGTTTCTGGATTAGCAACATTGGCAGTATCTAGAAACTAGCTAAAAACAATCACCATCAAGTCAACTCTGGCTCCATGCATGTATGACACTATGTTGTAGTTGTTAAGTGCTGTTGAATTGGTTCCGACCCATAGCCACGCAGCATAGGGTTTCCGAGGTGCAGCTGGTGAGCTTGAACCGCTGACTGTGCAGTTCAAATGGCTTTGCAGTCTGGTGCATTAACCCACAGTGCCACACCAAGATTCCATAGTCACTACAGGCTTTTCAAAAACTGATCTTTTTTTTTTTGGGGGGGGGGCAGGGGTGGAGATCACCAGGCCTTTCATTTAAGGTATCTCTGGGTGAACTTTTAATCTCCAATCTTTCAGTTAGCAGCTGTGATGGATTGAACTATGAACCTCCCCTACCATCACCACCAATACCTAATCTCTATGATGTTAATGAAGCAAGACTAAAGGCAGTTATGTTAACAGATAGGATGTAATCTACAGGATTAGGTGGTATTTTAAATCAATCTCCTTTAAAATATAAGAGATTAAACAAGTGAACAGAGATCACAGGGCTCTGACCAATAACCAAGAAAGAAGAGCCGGGAGTGGAGTGTGTACTTTGGACTCAGGGTCCCTATGCTGAGAACCTCCTAGATCCAGGGGAAAATTGATGCCAAGACACACATACCTCTCCAAGGAACACAGGGTCCACAGATGTTGAAAGGTGACAAGGACCTTCCTCTACCTTCCTCCAGAGCTGACAGAAAGCGAACTCCCCTTGAGCCAGGACCCTGAACTCAGACACCTAGCCTCCTTAACTGTGAAAGACTAAATTTGTCTGTTAAAGCCATCTACTTGTGGTATTTCTGTTATAGCAGCACTAGATAGTGAAGATAGCAGCCTAATCTGTTCACTGTTGGCACCACTCAAAGACTCCAACTGATTAAAAAAGTAAATTCTCGGGCGCTACCCAAGCTTACTGAATAATATCTCTGGGCATGGGGCCCAGTGATCTGTTTAACAAATCTTCCAGATAAATTCTGATGTACCCTAAAGCTTTAAGGGATATGCACAAAGGCAGGAGGCTGAAGGGAATGACTGAGCTACTTTCTGCCAGGTGAACCTACCATTCAGTTTCAGCCATGACCCAACCCTTAGGTCACATGTCCTAGCTTTGTTCTCCCACCTCTCACCCCAGATGTCCCCAATGACTGCCCCAGACAATGGGGAAGTCTCTGAAGGAAGATAACAACACAAGGTGGAAGGAAACAGGTGGGCTGCCCAGAATAACCAGCTCCCATTTCCTGGGACACTGAGCTCCCAAAGAAAAATAAACTGCACCCATCAATTCAGAGAATGGCAGTGGCTGATGCTGACAGCTGCTGGGATCTCAGCTAGAATAATGACAGCGGCACTCAGCAGAGGAACCACAGGCTTTAAGTGTACAATCATTATGAATGGAGATGAAATGCATGTGTAATAACACCAATTACAGAGCCTTCATCTGTTATTCATGCGATGCCATTCACCACTGTCAGGGTAGCCGTTATCTTGGTCCAGTCCCACACCCTGTGCGGCAGCCTGTCTTGCTTAGTAGGTGGAATGGGCTTCCTCCCTGAGAAGAAGACTAAGTGCCAGGGGGCAGGTGAGGGAGATCTGTGACTCCACAACAACCTGGCCACTCTCATGCTTGCCCCATCCTGACCCCTACCTGGCTGTGACCCTGCCTTTTCCAATGAGGAGTCAGGCCTGCCTCTCAAAGATGCTTTCTTCACTGGGAGTCTGTACCAGGAAGAGGAGGGCACACCTCGCTCTTCTTACTGCAAAACATCAGTGGAAAATACAGAGGGATCCAGGAAAACTAAGCCAGAAGCAAGGGCTTCTGGAGCCAGTCTGAGGAGGGAATTTCAGGAACAAGCATTCATCAGAGAGATTAAGTACTTGGCTCAAGGTTACACAGCCTAGAAGAGGTGAAAACCATCTAACTTCTGAGGCTGAATCTTGTCATCATGCCTTACTGTCTTCACTGACTCCTCAAATCAGTTGCCACTGAGTTCATTCCAACTCATGACAATCCCATGTATATCAGAGTAGAACTGTGTTCCATACTTCAGGGACTGACTCTTGAGAAGTCGATTGCCAGGCCTTTCTTCTGAGGTGCTTCGGCATGGATTCAAACCTCCAACCATAGTTAGCAGCTAAGCACCAGCAGGATCAATTCATGGGCTCAGGAAAGCCTTCTTTGGATTATTAATGGTGTTCCCAGACAGTTCCCTGATGCTTGCTGTTTCACTCTGAGGAATGCTTACCTTCAGCTGGAACAAACTCCCACCACGCACTTATATTTTAGCATGGATGGGTTAATGAGAAGTGGAACAGAAGGAAGTTGGGTAGGAGAGGATCACAGAACACTTTCCCACCTTACAATGTTGCCTGGACTGTTTTCTGCCTCCTTCTGTCCCTTTTCTAGCATCATTTCCCTCTGAGAAATGGGCTGCTTAGACAATACAGTCTGATATGAGCATTCGACAAATGCCTCTGGACTGTGGGCTCTCTCTCCAGGGCCCACAGATGAGCTGGTGAAGGTGCCTGCCTGGTGGTGATGCTGGGGGTCTAAATACCTGGCACTGCCCACCTGCCCTCCCCCTCAAAGCAGAGGCAGCTGTGGGAGTTGAGGTTAGGGATGGGGAAAGCATATCCCAGCTCTGCCCGGAAGCATGGGAAGCGGGAGTTTTTCTCTCCAAAGAAAAGTTAGCCAGGTGACTTGGCCCACCTGGGAGCATGAGCTCGAAGTTAATTAGTGATTTGGAAAAACAAGTTCAGGAAGAGCTGCCAAGGCGCTGAGCGCAGGGCACAGTGAGGGGGAGGGTAGGCCTGCCCCAGCTACTCTGTGAAGGGCCAAGGAGCCGGCCTCGCTGCCTTGCTCAGTTGCTCACGGCTCAGTCACTCCACAGACAAGAGCATCCTTCAGGTACCGAGGTTACACCGCCCCTCCTGGATTCCTGCTGCACTCTCACTTTTGTTTCTTTTAAACAACACAGAATTGTCCATTTGTTTACTTCTCTGCCACTCCTCCCTGCTTTCAGAAGATGAAGGCAGGTAAAGGATGGCAGAGTGTGCCCATTTCTCTGGGGAAACAGAGGCTGCATATAGGTGTCCATACAGCTCTGAGCTCTTTCCCCAGGCCTACCTGACCAAACTAGTGGGGAAAACCCACTTCTTTGACAAAACCTTGGTGGGCCTCAGCCTATCCTGAGACCTCTTCAAGCCTGGGAAGCAGGTGCTAGGGAGGCCCCAGAAAGCCCCCACTTTGAAGAGACAGAGTTAGGTATCTGGGCACTGGTATGTTCTTTTCAGGGCTCAAATTCTTCCTCCCCTCAACACCCACCCAAGCTATTCCTCAAACAGAGTTACTTTGGGAGTGCTTGACCTTGCTTGCCCTCACTGCAGGCCATTCTCTGGGCCCTCCTGGGGCAGGAGTGCTGCTTAATTTCTCATTCCATTTCCCTGGGGCCTCCCTGGACCGAAAGGGGCCTGGGGAGGAGGCAGTTGCAGAACACGTCACTGTTTAGAGGTCAAATCCTCACCCTTAATTCTCAAGCCAGATGCCACCAGGCCATCCTGTAGAGGTGGCAGTGGGCATCTGAGCCTCCCTCCTCCTGGCCCCTGCAGCCCCAGGCATGGCACTGTTGGACCACAGAGAGCCCAGACTGAGAGGCAGTGGAGAGCTAAGGAGGGCCAGGGATGGAAGATCCAGCCAGGAGTCAGGACTGCCTGCTTTCTCATCCTGGTCCTGTCACTTAACCACGGTATGCTCTGCCTGCTTCCTCACTACAGAAAGGGACAAAGCTAGTATACACCTCACAGTGTTCTTGTAGAATTAAAGAACATCTGCACAGAAAGT